TCCAGCCAGGTCCCTCCAGGCCTCGCATGCTACCTGATGGCGGAGGGAGCTGGTGGAGGGAGGAGGGAGGCAGGATGGTGGGGGGCTGGGGGGCAGATGCATAGAGCAGGCCGTACCCACCCTCCCTGGGCTACAGGCTGAGGTTCAGTGGAGGGGCTGAGAAGCGGGACTGGAAATGAGGCCTCGGAGCCCCTCCCTTCCCCTGACAGGTGTAATCTAAGCTTCAACCCGTGGAGGCTGCAGAACTTGTGGCGTCTCTCCCCTGCCCTCCCCACCCTCACCCTCATTTTGGAGTCCAGAGAAGCATCCGGTAGCTTCTCTCACCCCAAAATGCCCAGCAGAGCCCCCCCCCCCCCCTCGGAGCTGCGGCTTGCTGAACCATGGAGATGTCTGACACTGTCGAGTTCCCTACCTAGTGCTTCAACCAGATCACCTCACTTTTGAGTTTCCCCTTCCCCTCTCCCCCACCCTTCTCCCCTGAACCCCACTTTTGGTTTTTGAGTTTCTGCCTCTTCCTGCTTGGGGGAGGGGTCGTCTCCCGGTTGCTTTGATGGTTTTTGAGTTGTTTTTCCATGTGAATCGGGGTTTGAAGCGACCCACCCCCTCCCAAACCCGCCACCCCCCCACCGCCCACCTTCCTGACCCCTCACCCACGCGGGTCCCCCCGCTGGGACCCCCCGGCTACTCGGTGATGAGAAGAGCTGGAATCGAGAGCCAGCTGGAGCGTGCTGAGGACCAAGGCTGGTGTGGTCCCCTTATAACCCGCCTGGACCCTCCATTCAGGTCGGTAATTGGGGGCGGGGGTCCCGCGGGGCCGCCCTGTCCCGTGGGCTCCGCGCCCACCTTACTTTCTCACCCGCACCTCAGACTCGCAGCCGGGGGTGGAGAGATGACGTGGGTGGGTGTCAGCACCAAACTGGGCAGAACACAGGGTCAGCCGCCCGTCCTTGCCAGCGGGGAGGATGCCTGGGAACCTCGCGAGACCCCCGTGGGGGGGCCTGCGTCACCTGGTGCCAAAGGGCAGAGTCCTCCCCACACTCGTGGCAGACCAGCCCTCTTCCCACAGCCCACCCTGAGGAGAGGATGGGGTGGTGAGAAAGCAAGTGGGCAAAGTGTCTTAGGCGTCAGCTTTTATAGCTATTGGCAGAGCCGTTTAACCGATGGCTGCCGGCCATGTCGGGGATTCTAGGCACTAAAATTACTGTGGTTGATAAATGCCCTCCCACATTTAAGTGACTTACAGTTAACACCCTCACACAGCACGTCTTTTACATATTCAAGATGTATGCCTTGTCCCTACTTCTGAAAAAAAAAAGGTACTTTCCAAATTGTGATACTTCCTGAGGGAAGATTTAAAAAAAAATTTTTTTTTTTTTATTGATTTCAGGGAGGAAAGGACAGGGAGAGAGAGATAGAAACATCAATGTTGAGAGAGAATCATTGACCGGCTGCCTCCTGTACGCCCCCTACTGGGGATCGAGCCCGCAACCTGGGCATGTGCCGTGACCGGGAATCGAGCCGTGTCCTGGTTCATAGGTCGATGCTCAACCACTGAGCCACGCCAGCCGGGCATGAGGGAAGATATTTTAAGATCAGATGTGAACAGGGTCGCTTGGGCGGGATGTTGAGCCTTACAGAGGGATAAATTGGGCTCACATTTAATCTTTAAATTCTAAAGCCGGCGCTTAACGCCCTTTGATGTTCCAGCAATCCCTTTCCGTGTAAGCCTTTTACTGATGGCCCTGGGCGTTTATTATGGAGGTGGTTGGTTATCATCCAGCTGGTGGTCGCTGGGCACTATTCAGCTGGCAGCTGTGCATGGGGGTGGGGGCTTTTGCCCTCTTGGGTGTCCTCAGTGGGAAAGGACACACAAGGTTCCGAGAGCCAAATGCCAAAAAGGGACACCTGGCTATGGTTCTGCTACTGTCCACGGTGACGCGAGAGAAGGCTCGCTGTATCGCTCTATTCGAGGCAGGGGCCGGGCATTCCCGGCGTTGCTCTCTGGCCCACCACTTCCTTTGTGTCTCCCAGCTGGCCCTGGCCCCTCTCTGAGCCTCCACGCCCTCATCCACAGCCGGGCATCAGAACATTTGCCTCTCAATGTTGTTGGGGATCAAGCGAGATAGGGATTCAGTAGAAATTCTTACTCTTTCCTTTTTTAAATGCTTTAATCCTAACCCATCCCCAAACTCTCCTAAAGTAGAGGATCGAATTGGTCTTCCCAGCGGCCCGGAAGTCCAGCAGGAGACTGCACTGCTGAGCCCTGTCCTAGGCACCGCCCCAGGCAGCCTCGTAGCCTCAGGATGTCACTGATCGTCTCCATGTTGCAGATGGGGAAACTGAGGCTCCAGGAAGGTCCCAGGGCTCATTCAGCCACTGCAGTGCCCCCCACCTCTGCCCTACAGGCCTCGAGGAGCTGGTCTTATTGTGCAGTTAGTGTCTGGTCCGGTTTGTTCAGCCCTAAATGAGCAGTGGGCCTAGAGGGGCTTTATCGAGGGGCCTCCGGTGGGGCCGGGCTGGTTTGCCCCGAAGGTTCTTTCTCTGCGAGGATGTCACCTCTGTGAGGCTCTTGGGTGCTGGGTAGGGGGGCCAGACCCTGTGTTCTGCCAGGGGTGGGGGGCACCTCCCTGGGGAAGCCACAGCCCTCCTCCTTTCAGACCCCGATTTTCAGCCCCACACCCATTCCATGTTGTTGTTGTTATTTTTCTTCTTGCTTTTGGGTGTTTTGTTTTGGAAGAATTTTTTGTTTGGTTGGTGTTTTGGATTTCTCCTTTTTTCCGCTTTGTTTCTTCATTTGTTTCTCCTGGTTTGGACGTCGATGCTGTTTTCTGTCCTTGATTAATTAGCTTCCCGCGCTCATCCCCCATCGTGTTCCGTTTCCATGACAACGCAGCGTCGGGCATCCCACTCGTATGCCTCGCTGTGGATGCTGGTGGCGGTGGCTGGCCTGGACCACGTCCTCTGGCTGGCCGGACCCCATTTTCTTCCTCCAACTCCCCTCACCCTCCACCCAGCCCTGCCAGAGAGCTGCCCCCCATCTCAGAGCCCCCACCCATCACACCCCCAGTCTGTCAGCATGGCCCCTCTGTCTCCCCTCCCTGCCCTGCCCCCACTCCTTCCCTCAGGGGATGCCTTCCACATCCTCCATCCTGTCTCCAGTGTGACTCTGGACTTTTCGTGGGGCTTCCTTTTCCGAAGGGCTGCCAGCATCTTGGCCCTCCCCCTCCTCCCCACAGAGCTCCCCGCTTCTCTCTGCCTCCGTTCAGGGATTCAGAAAACAGGGGTTGGGGTTTCCACTGGGAACCCAGGCTGCAAGAGGAGGAGCCAGGCTGCCTCCCTTTATCCCCTACAGCCCCCTCCTCTGTAGAGCAGGCCACACCCCCTACCAGCACCCTCTTAGGGTGCAACTGTACCCCTTTACCATGTGAAAATTAGAGGCAGGTTGGAACGCTGAAAGTCACGTGGCCCTGTGTTGCCTTTTGAGACTCCATTCTGCCCTCTTCACAGTTAGAGACCAGACTCCTTGGCCCACCCAGGGCTGGGGACCTGCCCACGTGGCTTCCTGAAGGCCTGGTCTGAGCCAGGAACAAGCTCTTTCTGGCTGGAAGGCTTTACCAGGCTGCCCTCAGTCCTTCCCACGGCGTGTGCCTCCCCAAGGGGCCGCAAGCCATTCGGAAGTTCAGGTGCCTGTGAGCACGAACCCCTTCCTTTCCCCACACCCCCACCCAGAAACCTGCCCAACTTCTGAAAATGGAGCCCCCGAAACGCGTCCTGCTGCCTTCATGGTCTGCGAGATGGGGACCGAAGGCTGCATCCGCTTCCCCGCTAAGAAATGCACAGGACATGTCCCCGTTTTTCTCAGCGTTCAAGTTCATCCCCCACATTTATTATTATTATTATTATTATTATTATTATTATTATTATCGTTGTTGTTGTATTCTGCCAGGGCTGTGATGTGACGATGTGGCATGTCACATTGGTCACATCCGCTAGAATTAATATGCAGCATTGAAGTGGGCCCCCTCCCTCCTCCTCCTTTCTCTGTCTCCCGCCCTCTCTCTGTCCCGCTCCCTGTGTTCTCTCTTTCTCTTGCCTCCCCTGTCTCTTCTCTCTGGCACCCACATGAGTATGCACTCAGGCCCCTGAGATCCAGGCCTCTTCCATGCATTCGCTCTCTCTCCGTTCCTCTTCCTGCCTCTCTCTCTTTTTCTCTCTTTCTCCTTCTCTCAACCAATCTCTTTTGCATGCTGTTTGTGACTCTGAGAGCTGCATTTATCAATGGAAACTTGTGAGATCCGACAGAAGCTTTTAGAAGGGTTTCTATACCCAAAAACCACAAAAATTTCATTAGAGTTTCTCATCTTTTCCTGGAGGGCCCCCGGGGAAGTGGGCGGGGCCCGAGTCACCAGAGGGAAGTGGGGGGCTGAGATTCCCGGCCTGTGCCACCTGGTTCCAACTCTTCCCCTGACCTCCCCTCTCCATTCTGTCCTTCCCAGAGCCCCCCAAGTGCAGCCAGGACCCTCCGAAGCTCCCCACTTGGGAGAGCGAGTTGAGGGTCTCCTCCCTGAAGCCACATCTGTCATCAAAGATGAGAAACAGCTGATAAATTTTTGTGTTCGTAACTGTGCTGTGACCAGTCCCTCTGGTCTCTGAAACCCTGTTGCTATGAAATAATGCTTCATGTCTCTGATTATATATCGATATATCTCTCTTGTTTGTGAAGTACCTTCCTTTGAAGTTTTGGTTTCTTTGTGTTGGAATTTGGTTTTTTAATTTGGTTTCTTTGTTTTCTTTTCATTTGGAATTTTAAAAAAATTCAACTGGGGAAAAGGAAACAGCCCTGTTTATATTTAAATTGTTTTCCACTTTTTCCCCCTTTTTTTTTCTTTCTTTCCTTCTTCCTTCCTTTCTATCTTTCTTCTTGCTTTTCTTTCTTTTTCCCTCTGCATTCTGTCTACCCCCTCAACACCCAACCCCACGCATCTCCCTCCTGCCCCCAGTCCGCCGTGTGGCTCCTCGATTCTCCATCTTGCCCATGAACCACGAGATCATGCCAGGGGGCAACGTGAACATCACCTGTGTAGCCGTGGGCTCGCCCATGCCATATGTCAAGTGGATGCAGGGGGCTGAGGACCTGACACCCGAAGATGACATGCCCGTGGGGCGGAACGTGCTGGAACTCACGGACGTCAAGGACTCCGCCAACTACACGTGTGTGGCCATGTCCAGCCTGGGCGTCATCGAGGCCGTGGCCCAGATCACGGTGAAATGTAAGCGGGGGGCGGGGGGAGGCAGGTGGCCCCCTAAGCCTGGGGCAGGTGATGGGGTGCAGGTAGAACACCTCTGAGTGTTGGCTTTGGGCCTCCGTGGCTTTGAAGGGGAGAGTTCTGTGGTCAGATGTTTATTGCTTATAAATTATTCTGGGCCTGCCCCCATGGAGTGAGGCATGGTCTTGCTCTGCTGACCTCACCACCCAAAGTAGGAGACACCTGTGTAGCCATGTAGCTCTGATACAGGCTGATCAGGGCTGTGATGGGGGCCACCTAGCGCCATTCACACCCCCAGAGTAAAGGCCCCATTTCCCAGGAAAGTTAGGTCAGGGAAAGACTTTAAGTTGAAAGGGAATAAGCCAAAGGAGACGGAGCATCGTTTTAAGAAAAGGAATAGCTTATACAGAGACTCAGAGGGAACGGGAGGGTCAGGTGTGAGGACTGCAGATTCTCCCTGTGTCTCAGGTTTGTGGTGAGATTCAGAGGAAGGTACCCACAAATATTTTTCCAGCTTTAGAACAGGGGCCAGCAAACTGCAGCCCTCAGGCGGAATCCGGCCCTCAACTTGTTTTTATGAATAAAGTTTTATTGGCACACACCCATTTGTTCATGCCTTGCCTATGGAAGCTTTCTGGCTACAAAAGCAGAGCTTAGTCTCAACACAGGCCTGCAAAGCTAAAAGTATTTAGTGTCTGAGCGTTTGCAGGAAAAGTTGAATGAGCCCTAGGTCAGCTGGTTTGTTGGTCATTTTGCCGAGGGATTGAACTCTTGGTGAAGGCGTCCTGAGGCCGGTGTGGTGTGCCATCTTGGGACAAGCGGGAGAGAAAGCCACAGTTATCCAGGTGCTGAGACACAGCTGTCAACAATACTTGGGCCCTACTGGTGGGGTGGACAGACACATATGAAAATGAGATAACCTGTGTGGTGATAGGAACTGGGCAGGTAGCTTCTAGCCTCGGTGGTGAGTGAAGGCTTAAGGATGGTTTTAGAAGGAGCTGGCCATGTGGCCGTCTGGGCTTTCCAGGTACTAGAACAGCAAGTGTGTATGGGAACAGACAGAAGGGCCCTGTGGCTGAGCAGAGGGAACCACAGGGAGGGCTGTGGACTCGGGGCCGCCTGTGTTTCCTTCAAACGTGAATATTTTTCTTAAACAGCAAATATTCTTTTAAAGTAAATATATCCCGCTTTATGGGCCATCGAGCCTCTGCTGCAGCCACTCATTTCTCCGTCAGAGGGGAATAGTGGCCATTGGTCAGTGCTGCTCCAATAAAACGGTATTTACAGAAGCAGGTGCTCGCCTCTGGACCGGCGTTTGCTGACCCCGGCTTAGGTGACGGGATAGGGGTCCTTAGGCCCGATGTCACTGCCAAGGAGACCCAGGCTCAGAGAGGGCAGTTGTGTAGCTGAGAGTCACACAGCTTTCCGGGCCTGCAGGCAGCACACCCGACACGTGACCATGCCCCCCACCCGCAGCTCTCCCCAAAGCCCCCGGGACTCCCGTGGTGACGGAGAACACAGCCACCAGCATCACCATCACCTGGGACTCGGGCAACCCAGACCCCGTGTCCTACTACGTCATCGAGTATAAATCCAAGAGCCAGGACGGGCCGTACCAGATCAAAGAGGACATCACCACGACGCGGTACAGCATCGGGGGCCTGAGCCCCAACTCCGAGTATGAGATCTGGGTGTCAGCCGTCAACTCCATCGGCCAGGGCCCCCCCAGCGAGTCGGTCGTCACCCGCACGGGCGAGCAGGCCCCGGCCAGCGCGCCGCGGAACGTGCAGGCCCGCATGCTGAGCGCCACCACCATGATCATCCAGTGGGAGGAGCCCGTGGAGCCCAACGGCCTGATCCGGGGCTACCGGATCTACTACACCATGGAGCCCGAGCACCCCGTGGGCAACTGGCAGAAGCACAACGTGGACGACAGCCTGCTGACCACGGTGGGCAGCCTGCTGGAGGACGAGACCTACACCGTGCGCGTGCTGGCCTTCACCTCCGTGGGCGACGGGCCCCTCTCGGACCCCATCCAGGTCAAGACGCAGCAGGGAGGTGAGGTGCCTGCAGGAGGTGTGGCTCCTGTGGGGGCAGCAGGATCCGGGGTCCCCGCGGAGGGAGAGGCAGCGGTGCCATGTGCCTGCTGACAGGCAGCCGGCTGATCGCGCCTGGAAGCCACAGGGCGGTTTGTTGGTCCCACGCGGCTCTTTAAAATACCTTCATGCCGGCATTTCAAAGCAGGAAGTTGTCCCAGAAAACCCAAATTTCTGGCTTCCCTTGGAAAAATCTAGTTTGGCTTAGTCCACGGGGCTGCAGTCAGACACCCGATAGCTCCCCACGGCTGCGTCTGAACAAAGGGGTGCCGTTTCCAGCCGTTCTTCACAGCTGGGCCCGTGGGGGTCTGAGAGCTGCATGCCGCCCGTCTCAAAATAACCCAAAGGCAGGGGGCGGGGCGGGGGGCGTGTAGGGAGTAGGGGGGCACCTAGGTGTATGGGACCCCAGCTCTCTGCAGGTCTCTGGTCCTTTCCTCATGGGCTCAGGCTTTCTGAACCCCAAGTCTAGGAAGACTGAGGCAACCCATGCGAAGGGACAGGAGGGTGGGGACTCTGCCCCCCAGGGAGGGAAGGATGGAGCTGCACATTCCCAGTGGCGTCCCCACCACTTTCTCTGTCACTTAATTTGTGGGACGGGAAAGGCTTGGGGTGATTTGAAAAGGGGGTTTGTAAATGTTTTTCCATTGGACGCAGAGAGGGGGGAGAATTGAGGTGGACAACTGACAACCAGAGGGCAATGGGGGTCCCCTGGGAAAATAGGAGTAGTGAGAACAGTGGGAGAACATTCTGGAAGCATCGGAGACAAGCAGCCGAGCTCCACGGGAGTCTGAGGAGAAGGCGGCCACCGGGCAGGTTGGGTGCCCCGGGGTGAACCCTCCCCGCCTCCCCCATCTCTGTTCCTCTGCCTCCCCAGTGCCCGGCCAGCCCATGAACTTCCGGGCCGAGGCCAAGTCTGAGACGAGCATCGGTCTCTCCTGGAGCCCCCCACGGCAGGAGAGCATCGTCAAGTACGAGCTCCTGTTCCGGGAAGGCGACCACGGCAGAGAGGTACCGGGGCCCGCGGGGGGGCGAGGCGGCAGGGCGCTCACCGGGCCCCTCGCCTGCTTGCGCTTCCTCCCATGTCCCCCTGACGTCTGGTGTCTCTCTTCCCCCCGCTCTTTGCCCCCCATGTTGCTAATGTCCCACCTCTCTCTCCTTCCTGTTTCTCCATCTCCCCGTGTCTCTGTCTCTTCCCCCCTCCCCTCTGCCCCCTTTTCTCTCTCTTCTCTCCTGCGTCTCACTCTCTACATGATGCATCGGTGTCTGTCTCTGTGTGCCTCTCCATTTCCTTTTTTGTGTGTCTTTTTGTGTTTCTGTCTCGTTCATAATCTCTGTCTGTTATGTCTGTTTCCCTCTCTCTGTTTCTCTGTGTGTGTCCGTTTATGTCTCTGTTGGCATTTCTTTGTCTGATTCTCTGATTCTGTGTCTCTCTCTGTGTATGTCTCCATTTCTCCTGTGTCTCTCTCCCCGGCCCCTGCCCCTGCCCCCAGGTCGGGAGGACCTTCGACCCGGCCACAGCCTTCGTGGTGGACGACCTCAAGCCCAACACGGAGTATGCCTTCCGCCTGGCGGCACGCTCCCCACAGGGCCTGGGCGCCTTCACCTCGGTGGTGCGGCAGCGCACGCTGCAGTCCAGTAGGTGTCTCGCGGACCCCGCCCTCATCTTCTGGGGGGACCTCGGCCGACGCAGATGGCCTCTGCGCGTTGACCCAGGAGGAGCCTGCTGTAGGGGGTGGGGGGCGCCTCTGGCTCGTCCCCTGCTGACTCCTCGACCTCAGACATGTCCACGGGCGCTGCCTCGCTTTCCCCACCAGGGCAGTGGGTCCTACAGGCTCTGGGACCAGTTTTGTGGTTTTGCCCTTAGTTTGGGAGGAGTTGCTAGAGGGGTACGTGTGGCTGTAACAGCTCGCACCCCAGGTGGCCCTTCCCCCAACACAGGGTCTTCATGACCAAGGACAGGGGTGGCAGGAACCAGAGCCAGGGAGAGCACAGGGCCCAGTACAGGGCTCCCAGGTTCCTAGACTTCTTTGCTGTGCCTGCCCGGCCTTCCTGTCACAAGCAAGTTCCCTTTCGGCCAGGACCCTGCGGCCGGGAGCTGGCTCTGGGCCGCACCCTGGCCCCCGACACCGCCCTCCCTGCCTCCTCCGAACCCAGGACCTACACAAGCCCCTCCTGCTGTGTCCCTGCCTCCCGCTCTCTCCTCTGCTCTCTCCTCTCCGCTCAGCACAGCCTGGCGTGGCCTCTGGCGTGGCCCTCGTCGTCGTGGCCCTCCTCCCCTCCCACTTCTCAGTCAGTCCTTTAGCCACCCAGGCCTCGCACTGGAAGCGGCCTCACTGTTCAAACGTTCAAGCCCCGCCTGGGTGTGTGCACCTAGGGGGAGTCTCGGGTCAGTCGAGAATGACAGCAACTCGGGCCAGAGTGTCAGCTGCTGGGATCAGGGGCCTTGGAGATGAACCACCCCCTCCCCCCAGCCCTCCCTCTCCCCCCCCCCACCCCCCTCCATGCCGAGCCGAGCGCTCTGCAGGTCACAGGCGTCTGGGCGTGTTTGTGCGTGAGGCGATCAGTGAGGGTGTCCTGTGGCTCGGGTGGCCACGTGAGAGACTGGCACGGGTGCCGCGAAAGGTGAGTACACGCTGGTCTCAAGCAGGTTCACAAAGACGGCCCACCCTGTGTGCTCCCCACCTGCCCAGCAGCTCTGGGCTGCACAGACAGCCCAGAGCCCAAATTCACCCCACAGCCAAGAAGCACGCCTGCTCAGAAATCTTACTGTTTTTCATTCCCCCCCCACCCAGCACAATGCCTGGCACACAGTGGATGCTGCGTAAAAGGCAACTGCTTTTATCTTGATGATGCCCCGAGTCCCGTGTTTGTATTTCTGTCCACACCCACCCGCTCCCAAGATGCTGTGCAGGTTGGGCCGGATTGTGAAGGAGGCGGCCTCCAGGGTCGTCGACAACGCAGCTTTGGCCCAGCCATGCGGACCTCGGGGGCGGCCCAGGACAGGGACCAGGGGCTGGGGGAGAAGGGACTCTCCACTTCTGGCCCGGAGACGGGTGGGGCCTGAGAAAACTACAGCCAAGACTCAGGGCCAGGCGTGTCCCGGGGGCTGCGGGCTGCTTAGGCTGAACTCAAGGGTAGGTGGAGGCCAGACCACTCAGCCGTGGGTCTCCCCAGACACCGTCCCGCCCGCCTGCCTCGTCGGCACCTGTCCGGAGCTGCCGCGGCCGCACTGGGGCCGGAGCAGGGCTGTAGGCCCGCTTGCGTCTGGAGACCCACCCAGAGCTGGGTCTGGCCTTGTAGCTCAGCATCCACCATTCCCTCCCTCGTAAGAAAGTCTCATAGGTTAGCAGTTGAAGAGTGGAAGGTAGGTAACCAGACTGGGAGTGCTCTGGAAGGCGTCCTTCTTTTATTATGGTTTTCCTCATCATCATCACGTTCACTGTTGTTTTGTATTTTATTATGGTTTTGGTTTTATTTTTCCTCCCCCTTTCTCAGTGAATCCATTCCTTCCGGCACATTCCTTGAGTGGTTTTTTTGCTCCTGCCTGACTCCCTTGGGCATTTTTGGTTGGGGTGGCTGGTCAAGAAATGGGGGAGGGGACCCTAAGTGTCTGTTTTTGAAGGAGGGACCCCCAAGTGTCTGGTTCTGGTCTTTCACTTGAAGGGAGGCTGGAGGGAGATTCTAGTTGAAGCCCTGGGTTCTCTCACAGCCTGATGGCTTTGAAGACGGGGCTTCCAGGTCATCCCTGGATCCCCGGGGCCAGCACAGAGTGTGCATGTAGGAGATACTCTATAAACACGTGTTCCCTGAGCAGAGAGGCTGGCCTGATGGTGAAGGTGCTCGTGCAAGGCCAGTACATCGGGCAAGGCCAGTGACTTTCTGGGCCTCCCTCTAGCAAGGCTGACTCTTGGTCCTGGGCAGCCGAGGGAGTGTGGCTCCAGCCACCCTCAGGCCTCAGGCCTGAGCCGATAGAGGTCCAGGCTGAGGTCAGTTTTCCCAGCCTCAAGCTGAGAGAGTCCGTGGAGAACAGCTGAGCCCAGATTCAGATCCTTGCCACGTGCCCTTGGGCAGGCAACTTGCCATTTCCTGGTCTCAGTTTTTCATCTGCAAAATGGGAGGTGAGATATAAAAAGCACCAGTATGGGTGGGGGCCTGGCACACAGTAGGTACTCAGTGATAATAGAAAACCAAGCAGCTGTGTTTTGAACCTGCTTTCCCCATCTGTAACATGGGGTGGGGCTATATTATTGCTGTTCCTCTGACACACAGTAGGTGTTCAGTAAATTAATGTGTTAGATAGTAGGGGTGATAGATCTAGCTCCCTAGGAGAGTCATGAGTGTTAAATGAAGTATGATCATTGGAGTGCATTTTGAGTCTATAAAAGGCTTAGGGTGCTGGGTGTGCAAAATAGGTGCATAGAACTTGAGTTTTATTATCAGTAATGCCCATAACACAGGGCCTGGCCCATTGTAGGTGCTCAACCCATGGAGACTATTACTGTTATTTCATAAAGCCTTTTAACACACAGTAGGTGCTTAATATGTGGGAACTGTCATTGTTAGTACATTGCCTAGCACACAGTAGATGCTTCATATATGCAGCTGCTGTTTTAAATCTAAACACGGATTGTCACAGTGCTGGCATATAGTTTGCGTTCAATGAATGGACGGTATTAGCAGTTTGTCACAAGGTTAATCTCATGCCAGGTGCACAATAGGTACTCAAAACATGGAGGCGACTATTCTGCAAAGCCTGTGTTTGACACAATGTCTGGCATACAATCAGTGCTCAATAAGTGGTACTTTCTTAAAAGAGGTTGGCTTGGCACTAGGTACAAAGTAGGTGCTCAGATGGGAGTCATTGTCAGTCTGAAAGGGTCTAACATGGTGCTCAAAACATGGAGTTATTATCTGCAAAACCCTTGGCATCATGTGTACAAATAGATGGCACTCAATAAGAACTATTACCATCCTATCTAATAAAGAGGGAATATGCTAATTGACCCTCATGCCATCACAAGATGACAGCACCCACAGCCAATAAGGAGGGAATATGCTAATTGACTGCCCCGCCCTCAAGGATGGCGGCGCCCACAGCCACAAGATGGCCGGCAGGGGAGGGCAGTTGGGGTGACTGGGCTGGCAGGGGAGGGCAGTTGGGGGTGACTGGGCTGGCAGGGGAGCAGTTAGGTGTCAATCAGGCTGGCAGGGGAGTGGTTAGGGGGCGATCAGGCAGGCAGGCAGAAGCAGTTAGGGGCAGGCAGGCGAGTGGTTGGGAGCCAGCAGTCCCGGATTGTGAGAGGGATGTCCGACAGGGATCGGGCCTAAACCGATAGTCGGACATCCCCCAAGGGGTCCCAGATTGGAGAAGGTGCAGGCTGGGCTGAGGGACACACCACCACCACCACCACCCCGCCCCCCAGTGCATGAATTTCATGCACCCGGCCTCTAGTTTTTATATAAGGCCCTTGGCATAGTGTCTGGTACACAGTAGGTGTGCTTAATACATGGGAACCACGGCTGTTATCCAAAAAGCCCTCAGCATACAGTAGGTACTTTATGTATGGGGACTACTACTGTTACTGCATTAACACAGTTCTTGGCACACAGTATGTGCCTAAGAAGTGAGAACTATTAATGTTTTACAAGGCCCTTAGTACAGTGCCTAGCACATGGTAAGTGTTTAATATAAGGGAATTGTACTGTTTTTCAGTTAACCTCCTAGCACAATGCCTGGCACACAGTAGGTGCTGCATAAAAGGCAACTGCTATTTTTATCTTTAGAGGGCTATTATGATGTCCAGCCCATAATAGGTGCTCAGTAAATAAGACTTACTGTTGATCTGTAATGCTTAGTGTAGTGCCAGATGCACAGTAGGGGCTCAAAACAGAACTCTGATCTATGAAGACCTTGGCACACAGTAGGTGCTAAATATGGGCTGCGTTCTCTATAAAGCCCTGAACCTAGGATCAACACAGTAGGCACTTGCATTACTCTGGTATAGTCCTTGGCATGCTAACTGGCACACAATAGTTTGCTCAAGATATTGGCATCATTGGTTGATGTAAGCCATGGGGGTAGCCTCTAGAGCAGTGGTTCTCAACCTTCCTAATGTCGTGACCCTTTAATACAGTTCCTCATGTTGTGGTGACCCCAACCATAAAATTACTTTCGTTGCTACTTCATAACTGTAATTTTGCTACTGTTAGGAATCGTAATGTAAATATCTGATACGCAGGATGTATTTTCATTGTTACAAATTGAACATAATTAAAGCATAGTGATTAATCACAAAAACAACATGTAATTATATAGTGTTTTCCGATGGTCTTAGGCAACCCCTGTGAAAGGGTCGTTTGACCCCCAAAGGGGTCGCGACCCACAGGTTGAGAACCGCTGCTCTAGAGTCTCTGGTAGAACAGGTATTCAGTAAATAGATGCTTTTACTATTAACCTATGAAGCACTTAGCACCATGCCTAGCACATAGTAGGTACCCAATAAATGGAAATAGGGCTTTTACTGCTGTTCCCTGGCAGTATTATTCTCCTGGCATACAGTAGGTGTTCAGTAAGTAAATGTGCTTACTATTATCCTATGAAGCTCTAGCCTAGCACATAGTGGATGCCCAATAAATGTGGCTTGTATTGCTATTATCTAGCATAGTACCTGGAGCACAGTAGGTGTTCAATAAATAAGTATTTTACTATCACTCTGTGAAGCCCGTGGCATGGTGCCTGGCACATAGTAATTACCTAATGGATCTTTTTTTATTATTCTCACTCGAGGACATGCTCTTATTGATTTTAGGGAGAGAGGAAAGGAGAAGGGAGAAAGAGAGAAAGAAACATGGATGTAAGAGTGAAGCATTGATAGGTTGCCTCCTACATGCACCCTGACCAAGGATTGAACTACAGCCTGGGCATGTGCCCTGATTGGGAATCGAACCCGAGACCTTTTGGTGTATGGGACGACACTCCAACCAACTGAGCCATACTGGCCAAGGCCCTTAATAGGGCTTTTATTGCTTTTCCACTTGGCACGGTGGCTGCCACACTGTAAGTGCTCAATAAATAGGGCTTTTATTGTTATTCCCTGGCAGTGGTATCCCCCTGGCACACAGTTGGTATTCAATAAATAAATGCATTTACTGTTATCTGATGAAGCTCTTAGCACCATAGGTGCCTAGCACACAATTGGTGTCTAATAAATGGGGCTTTTATTGCTGTTCCTCTGACACACAGTAGGTGTTCAGTAAATTAATGTGTTTACTGTTATCCCATCCCTGGCACACAATAGGTACCAAATAAATGGAGCTTTTGCTATTCTTCTGGCACAGTGCCTAGCAACACAGTAGGTGTTCATAAACATTTTACCGTTATTCTATGAAGCCCTTGGCACATAGTAGTTACCTAATAAATGGGACTTTATTGCTTTCCACTTGGTATGGTGGCTGGCGCATAGTAGGTGCTCAGAAAATGGGGCTTTTATTGCTGTTCCTCTGGCACAATATCTAGCACATAGTAGGTGTTTGATTAAAAAGTACATTTAGCCTGGCCGATGTGGCTAAGTGTTTAGCATTGACCCATGAACCGGGGGTCACCGTTCGATTCCCAGTCAGGGCACATGGATAAAGCCTGCAGCATAGTGCCTGACATACAGTAGGTTGTGGGCTGGATCCCCAGGAGGGGACGTGCAGGAGGCAGCCAATTGATGATTCTCGTCATTGATGTTTCTGTCTCTTCTTCTCCTTTCCTCTCTCTGAAATCAATAAAAACATATTTTTAAAAGGTACATTTACTATTCTATGAAGCACTTGGCATGGAGCTTGATATAATATAGGGATTCAGTAAATAGGTTGTTTTTTTAAGTCCTCATCCGAGGATATGTTTTTATTGATTTTAGAGAGAAAGGAAGGCGGGGGGGGGGGGGGGGGTTGATGTGAGAGAGAAGCATCAATCGAACCTGCAACCTAGGTATGTGTCCTAACTGGGAATCAAACCCACAACCTTTTTGGTGTACAACGTTCCAACCAATTGAGTCCCCTGGCCAAGGCAATAAACAGATGCTTTTGCTGTTATTCTGTGAAGCCCTTGGCACCATGCCTGGCCCACAGTAGGTGCCTAGGAAATGGGGCTTTTGTTGCTATTCTACTTGGCATGGTGCCTGACACATAGTGTGTACCCAATAAATGGGGCTTTTATGGCTGCTCCTCTTATCACAATGCCTGGCACACACGTGTGTGCTCCACAGGGACTGTGGTGGCCCACTACCTAAGACCTACTATGTGTCAGAGAGGTTCAGTCACGTGAGTGAGTGCAGTGTTCTTGGCCAGCCCTCCCAGCCCCACCCCCACCCCCCCATCTCACCTTTGGTTGACACCCGCTTCTTTTGGGTTCGACTTCTCTTTGCTTTGGTCCTGTTTTGTTTGTTATCATCTTCTTTTTTATTTTCTCTTTCCCATCTTTTGTTTCCCCGCCCCCTCCCTGCCCATCCCGCTCCCTTCCCCACCCCCACGTTCTTCCCCCTCCAATAGAACCGTCTGCCCCCCCTCAAGATGTTAAGTGTGTCAGCACACGCTCCACGGCCATTTTGGTAAGTTGGCGCCCGCCACCGCCGGAAACACACAACGGGGCCCTGGTGAGCTATAGCGTCCGCTACCGACCGCTGGGCTCGGAGGACCCGCAACCCAAGGAGGTGAACGGCATCCCCCCGACCACCACTCAGATCCTGCTGGAGGCACTGGACAAGTGGACGGAGTACCGCATCACGACTGTCGCTCACACAGAGGTGGGACCAGGGCCCGAGAGCTCGCCCGTGGTCATCCGCACCGACGAGGACGGTAAGCACCGCCCTGGCCTGGGGACCCCTGCAGGCCCCAGTCCACCCCGCCCGGGAGCCTCCTGTCTGGAAACGGGGCTGGCTGGTGGCCAAGAGGTAGAAGCCGCTGTCAGGAGAGGGAGACGCGAAGCGAGCTCTCGCCCCGAGGAACCCTGGGCTCCTGGGCTGGGAATTCTCTGCTCTAGGCCTGTGGGCACCATTGGCTCCCTGAGCCTTGTGCCCGGAAAGTTGAGCTGGCACCCCCGCCACTTGGTCCAGTGGTCGAAACCATGGAACCCAAGTGTAAGAAGCAGCAGGTGGCACTTGCAAAAAGTCTATGGTCCCCTCACCCCAAATACCCACCGTTGAGACTTCTCTTGGGATGAGCCAGGATCTGCGGCTTCCTGGGTCTGACCCATCCTACCTAAGAGTAGGCTGACTGTGTGCTAATAACATTTAACCAGCAACTACTGGGAGACAGAGAGACTGATTTGTGCCGTTGGTCAAATTCTGGGGTGTCAGTATCCTGCCGCGGCCAGCTGCGAGGTGGAAAGTTTTAAGCTGCAAAGTGAGATGGGTGCCGAGGGCCTGGGGCTCAATGAAGCGAGGAGCTTCCCCAGTAACACCGAGCCCCTTTGAACCCGGTTTGCTTTCTGAGCCACGGGCCGCATTGTGTCGGAAGCTTGGGGAAGAGACGAAGCAGCTCTTCATGGCGGGGGCCGGGGGGTCAGGCTCCGATCTGGGGGCTGGCTGAGAAGGACCCCCAGTACCCAGTGGGCAGCCGCACTGCCTGGGTTCAGACCCTGCTTGGCCTCTTTCTAAGCTGTGACCATGGAATCCACTTTCTGGGCCTCAGGTTCCCCATCTGTAAATGAGAAAAGAGCCGCTCTGTGGAGGCATGCGGTGAGGATGGTGGAGTGTGCCTAGGTCCTTAGAACAAGGCGTGGGTGCCCTCTGGTGTCACGTGGCCTGGGAGGTAGCCGTGGGCACTGGGGCTGCGCAGTTGCCCATCTGTAAATGGTGGTGTGCGCTTAGGGCGCCCAGTTAATCAGCAGCCACTTGTCACCCCGGCATCGGGCAGCTGCCCGGGGCAGGGCCGGGCGCCCCAGTAACGGCACCCCCCACCCTCCCCTTCGTTCCTGCTTCCCTCCTCCCCCTGCCAGTGCCCAGCGCGCCGCCGCGGAAGGTGGAGGCGGAGGCGCTCAACGCCACGGCCATCCGCGTGCTGTGGCGCTCGCCCTTGCCAGGCCGGCAGCATGGCCAGATCCGCGGCTACCAGGTCCACTACGTGCGCATGGAGGGCGCCGAGGCCCGGGGGCCTCCGCGCATCAAGGACATCATGCTGGCTGATGCCCAGGTGGGCGGGGCTCTGGGCAGGGCCTGGGAGGGTGGCTTCCAGGGGGGTGGGGATGGGCCCCACCCCGTGCTCCTGCCCTCTCGCTGCTTCTCTCTCTCTGGCCGCCCCGCTCATCTCCTCCTCTCTCCCCTGCCGCCTCCTCCCACGCTCAGTGGGAGACGGATGACACGGCCGAATATGTAAGTAGTGCCCTCTGGCCACTGGCGTGCTCTTCCCGCGGGCCGTGCCTTGCTGTTCTGTGACACCCACCCCTGCACGCCCCTTGTCAAAGGGTCTCCTCCCCTGGGTCCCCGATGCACCCCCCTTGGAGCTAGCAGTCTCAGTTCTCACATCGGGCAAATGGGCCCAGGGGCACCTGTGGGGGACCCCAGAGGGGTGACCTGGACACAAGACAGAGGTCATCCCTTATCCTTCTTACCTGGGTGGCCCCTAGATCCCAGTTACACACACACACACACACACACACACCCCACTTGCAGTCCTCTCCATTTGCACAAGCCGTTCTGAGGCCTGGGATGCCTTTCCTACGGTGCCCACCCACCACTCCACCCCACCACCTCCCTGTCGGACCCAGACCAGAGCCGGGTCGCTTTCCAGCCCGGCCTGACCCTTCTATCACCAGCTGCAGGCTTCCCTGACCTAGAACTTTCTCTCTCCGTTCAGAGTGTCCATTTCATTCTGGCCCTTGAGTGAGGGCGGGGGCAGGGGCCCGGGGTTAGAAAGGAGGCCAGTAGTGCCACCGTCTTCATCCTTCTGAGCTTGTTCCGGAGGCCCTGGGCCAGTCGCCGCCTCTCTGGGCTGTCTTCCTGCCTTTCATATGGAGGCCACAGGCTCTCTAAGAGCCCCAGGTCTGATGCTAAAATGACACTGGCCCTACCTCCTTCCATAGGGAAGTTTCAGCCCCCCCCCGCCCCCCCCCAGGCCCTGGGAGGGTCTAAATGTGAGGCTCAGGGGCAGGAGACCCTCTGTTCATGCATCCCTGCCCCCCCTCATGCTCTTGACCTGGGGACCCCCCTGAACTCCCAGGCATGCTGGACGTGTTTGTGGTGTGCATGTGTGGGGACATGGACACGTGTGTGATGGTGTTCATGGGTGTGTGTGCGAGCAGGGTGCTCTGGCATTGGTTGAACAAGCAGTCATTGACGGAGCACCTTCTGTAGGCTAGGTCCTGAGAGAGGTGCTGCAGAAATGACAGAGCTCTGAGCCTGCCCTCCCTGGGATCACAGTCCAGTGTGGGAGAGGGATGTAATGGGAAAGAGATACAAACATGTGTGTAGTTACAGCGCTGGTGGAGGCAGGTGTAGACTGGTGTAAATGTCAGCTCTCCAGATGGGTGGGCCGGGCCGCCCTGATCTGTAGCATTTGGCGTAAATACTCCCACCATGTCAGTTTCAAGCTACAGCTAGATGTGCAGGGGCTCGTTGTTGTATAGTTTTCTACCACAAGGGACAAGTGACCCAATAGCCTAGTGGTAAACATAGTAGAATGATTAGGAGGGGGATATTGAGTATTTAATACCTTTGTGCTTTTAAAATTTTTATTTATTTTTATTTAATTGTAATTTTACATAATTTACTTTTTAGTATTGGCTGGGTTTAATAACTGGCTCACAAAATTCCTGAACATTTGAATATTGGCTCTCGTGAGCTGGTATAGGAACTTCCAGCACACCAATGGTCGTAGTGGAGGCAGGGAAGAGCCTGTGCAAAGGTCCTGTGGCAGGACCGGGGCTGGCGTGTTGGAGGAGCAGTAAGGAGGTCCTTGTAGCTGGAGCGGAGTGGGTGAGGGGAACAGAAGGAGGTGAGAGCGGGGAGGAGATATGGCAGGGATTGCAGGGCCTTCTAGGCCATGGGGAAGACTTGGGATTTTACCCCAGGGGAGGTGGGAAACCTAGAGAGCTGTGGGCAGAGGAGGGATGGGACCTACTCAGATGCTCACAGGCACCCTCTGGTGGCTGCTGCAGTGACAGACCCTGGGGATGGGGTGGGAGCCTGATTACCAGGGCAGGGCAGCTCCCTGTTCAGTGCGGCTGCGTGTGCCCATCTCAGCATGGACCTGCTCCCTGTCGGGGCCTCTGCATGAGGTTGTGTGCACGTCTTTGTCTGAGGACCAGGCCCCACGTCCACCTTGTTTGAGCCCAGCCCTGGAAGGAGGGTGGACAGGGCTGGTCTCACCCTGCTTGCCTCACTGACCCCACCCCTGCCTGCAGGAGATGGTCATCACAAACCTGCAGCCTGAGACCACCTACTCCATCACTGTAGCCGCCTACACTATGAAAGGCGATGGCGCTCGCAGCAAACCCAAGGTGGTAGTGACCAAGGGAGCAGGTATGAGACCCCTCCCCCGTGGCTCCTTTGCCCCCGGAATCCCTGCAGCGAGCGTTCTTGAGCCCATGTGGGGAAAGGGTGTGCTGGGCAGGGGGAGCCGCCAGAGCAAACGGGGTGGGGGCTGCTCAAGGGGGCATTCGGAGCCCAGCAAGGCCCAACCCCATCTCCTCGTCATCACCCTCTTCCTTAGCTACTTGGCTCCATCCAGATGCAGATAGTTAACAGCCACCACTGACGCCCTCATCCTCCTGGCTTTACCGGCTGCTCCCTCTGCTCAGACTCCCTCTCTTCCTGGCTGTCTCCTCCCCATCCTTTAGGTCGTTGCTTCGTTTCTACCTCATCCGGAAGCCTTCCCCACCCCACCCCTATCCCACAGTCTTGGTCTGATGCCTCTTCTGGGGCCCCCAGCACCCTGTCATTCCTCCGTCATGGCTCTGATCCCCTGTCATTTGGGGGCGGTGTCCTCATCGCTACAGCTACCCCAGGAAGCCGCCTCTCCTGGCAGCCCTGCCTCAGTTTCCCCTTCTGGCTCCTCCCATCAGTCCCAAGGTTCTGTTTTTGCCCGAGCCAGCATTGAGCTGAGTGAGGAGAGAGCCGTGGCTGTGAAATGTAAGGGGGAGATGTCCCAGGCTGAGGGCACAGCCCAGGCAGAGGCTCGGAGTGTGTTTGAGAAACAGTAGAAAGGCCTCCATCCCACTCCCCACACCCTTCCTCTCTCCGGGACACTCGTACACCTCTGACCACACAGTCTGACATTCAGGCCAGACAGTTTCTCTCTGCATTGCTGCCAGCCCAGCGCATGCTGTTTCCTGAGCCTGGTTAGTCTGTATAGCCTCCAGGGTCCAGTGCCCATGTCACCTCCTCCAAGGAGCCTCCTATGGTCTCTCCCTCCTCTCAGGGACATTGCATTAGAGCTGTGCTTGCTAAGCCGAGCCCACTGCAGACACTGTGAGTGCTCATAGCACAGTCCATTAAAGGTCCTGATAAGTCCTGCAGTGGGGAAGCTTGGTTTCCTTTGCAGAGCCCAGCTTTCCCCCTTCTCTGCCTGACCCCCAAACCTCTCTTGGCTCATTCATTGCTACTCAGACTGTGAAAACCATAAGGCATGTGCAGGATTTGGGCACTGCTGTGTCCCATGGGTATTAATCAGGTACCAGTGAGGGGCAAGTAAACAAGGCAAGAAATGTCTGGCTTCCTGACGAAAGGAGCAGATACAGAGATGAGGCCACTGTGACATCTGTGGGTGTTTTCCTTTATTGGGGTCTCCTTGCTGTTCCTTACCCTCACCTAGCACAGGCCTGCCTCAGGGCCTTTGCACTGCTGTTCCCTCTGCCTGGAACACTGTTCCTTCTAGACCTCCCTGCGGCTCCCTACCTGCCTTCTTCACCTCGTCGTTTCTCAGTGAGGCCTCTCTGAGACCCACTTTTTAAAACTGCAACCCTACCCCGTGCTCCCTGGCGGGCAGGCGGTCACTGATGCTGGCCCTGTGTCCCCACAGTGCTGGGCCGCCCCACCCTGTCGGTGCAGCAGACCCCCGAGGGCAGCCTGCTGGCACGCTGGGAGCCCCCAGCTGGCACCACCGAGGACCAGGTACTGGGCTACCGCCTGCAGTTCGGCCGAGAGGACTCGTCACCCCTGGCCACGCTGGAGTTCCTGCCCACCGAGGACCACTACACGGCGTCAGGCGTGCACAAGGGGGCCACCTATGTGTTCCGGCTGGCAGGCTCGCAGCCGAAGTGGCCTGGGCGAGGAGGCGGCGGGAGGTCCTTGAGCATCCGGGAGGACACGCCCCGCGGCCATCCGCAATTCCTCGAGGCGGCTGGCAACGTCTCGGCCGGCACCGTCCTGCTGTGCTGGCTGCCGCCCGTGCCTGCGGAGCGCAACGGTGCCATCGTCAAGTACACGGTGGCGGTCCGGGAGGCCGGTGCCCCGGGCCCCGCCCGCGAGACTGAGCTGCTGGCAGCGGCCGAGCCGGGTGCTGAGAACGTGCTCACGCTGCAGGGCCTCAAGCCCGACACGGCCTATGACCTCCAAGTGCGGGCCCACACGCGCCGGGGCCCCGGCCCCTACAGCCCCCCTGTCCGCTACCGGACGTTCCTGCGGGACCAAGGTAGGCGCGCGGAGACCCCGCACCAGAGCCGGACCGGGCCTTGCGCCCCCCCCCACCCCAGCCCCCTCCCTCTCCCCCGCCAGGTAAGTGGTCACTTTTCTGCTTCCTCGTGATGCTCGAGGCGAGTCTGGACCCCGAGGCTCTGGCGTTGGCAAAGGTGGGACGTGCCTCGGTGGCACCACCATCCCCCACCCCTCTTCTCCTCTGCCTTCTCTCTGCAGCCGCGCCGTCTCCCCCAGCAGGGTCTTGGGACAGGGCCAGGCAGGGCCGGGCCAGGGCCAGGCAGGAAGGCCACGGGCACAGCGGACAACAGGGAAGGCCTGGGCCGCCCCACCCCACCCGCCCGCCCGGCCCTGCCTGGCACTTACCGGGCTTCTCTTCTGCTCTCTCCCGCTGGGCTGCTGCCTGGTAGTCTCGCCCAAGAACTTCAAGGTGAAGATGATCATGAAGACGTCGGTCCTGCTCAGCTGGGAGTTCCCCGACAACTACAACTCGCCCACACCCTACAAGGTGTGGCCCCGGCAGGCGGGGTGGGCGGGTCCGGTTTAGAGCGTGGCCGGGGCGGGGGCTAGGTCTGGAGTTGGGGCTTGTTGGGGTGGTGTTGGGGTTCAGCTGGACTCGGGGCTGAGTGGGATTGGGCTTCACTGGGGATTGAGGCTCCGTCTGGGGTTGGGGTTCACTCTGGGATTAGGTCTCAAAGTTGGGACTCAGCTGGGATTGAAGTTTAATCTGGGATTAGGGCTCAGTAAGGATTGGGGCTCCAGTGAGAGTGGGGGCTCAGCCTGGGGTGAGGGCTCAGCTGGGATGTAGGTTTAGTCGGGGTCGAAGGTCAGCCCAGACCCCACTGAGCCAGGCCCGGCCCACAGATCCAGTACAACGGGCTCACCCTGGACGTGGATGGCCGCACCACCAAAAAGCTCATCACGCACCTCAAGCCCCACACCTTCTACAACTTCGTGCTGACCAACCGCGGCAGCAGCCTGGGCGGCCTCCAGCAGACGGTCACGGCCTGGACTGCCTTCAACCTGCTCAGCGGCAAGCCCAGCGTGGCCCCCAAGCCCAACACCGACGGCTTCATCATGGTGTATCTTCCCGACGGCCAGAGCCCCGTGCCCGTCCAGTATGCCGACGTCCCAGGGCCCCTCGCCCCCCTTAGCCAGCCACCTGACCTTCCCGAGCCTCCGTTCCTCAGCCAGGGTTGGGGCTAGGCTGGAGCCGAGGCGTGTTGGGGTGGTGTTTATAGGATGGGGGTTCCGCCAGCCCCGCCTGTGTGGTCCCCACGGAGGTCCCGTGCTTCTCACAGGAAGAGTCACTAACTGGCCTGTGTCTGCTTCTCCAACGTCTTCTGACACCCTGTGTGCCTGACCTACTGGTTTTGGGTTCCCAGATTGGTGGGGAGGCCACTCTGCACCGACTCTCAGCCCCTGGGTGTGGCAGTAAGGGGCAGAGGAGAATTAAAGGCTCCAAAAATGTGTGGGCGTGCAAGCTGGGGCTTTGAAGGGTGCGTAGGAATTCAAGAAATACAACTGCGCGGGAAAGGCTTTGTAGGCAGAAGTCAGTGTGATCGATGGCCTGGAGGTTCAAACATGGCTGGGGCTGTAGGGCAATAGGCCCCACTGTAGGAGCAGAAGGGAGATTCAGGAAGGGAGACTCCCCACTCGGCCCCCGGAGGGCAGCTCTGTCCGGTCGGCCTACAGGCGGCGCCCCTCTGACGCTCCTCTCGTGACAGGAACTACTTCATTGTGATGGTGCCGCTGCGCAAGTCTCGCGGTGGCCAGTTCCTGACCCCGCTGGGCAGCCCGGAGGACATGGACCTGGAGGAGGTGAGGGCCAGGGCCCAGCCTGCCCGGGGCGGACACGTCCCAGCCGCCCTGAGCCCCAGGGATCCCAGCCGGCCCTGAGCAGCCCACGCCTCTGTTTCCGTAGCTCATCCAGGACATCTCCCGGCTGCAGAGGCGCAGCCTGCGGCACTCGCGCCAGCTCGAGGCGCCCCGGCCCTACATCGCGGCTCGCTTCTCGGTGCTGCCCCCCACCTTCCAGCCCGGGGACCAGAAGCAGTACGGCGGCTTCGACAACAGAGGCCTGGAGCCCGGCCACCGCTACGTCCTCTTCGTGCTCGCCGTGCTGCAGAAGAGCGAGCCCGTGAGTCCCCACGGTGTCCGCCCCTCCCAGCCACGCCCGCTGTGTGAGGCCGGCCCCAACACGTGAGGGCCCTGACCTCGGAGCCAGACACCGATCCTCCCAGCTTCCTGGGCCCAGGGAAGGACTTGAAGTCGGGGGACTGCCAAGAGGAAGGCCTTTTAGAGGAAGGAACTTGGGAATTGGGGCTTTGGCTGGATGGGTAGGGGTTCAACCAGAAAGGGCACCGCAGGATCTGCATGTGCAAAGGTCTGGAGGCGCAAGAGGAACAGAAAGGAGTTGAGAGTGGCAGGCGGGGAGGGGGTGCCAGGTTGGCAAGGGCCAGGGTTCTCAGGAGCTACAGGCGGGTGGGGAGCCTGGGAGGGGCATCGGGGTGTGTGGAGGAAGGCGCGTCTGGCTCTGAGGAGGAGGGACGCTGACGGAGGTTCTCTCCACCTGTGTGCGCAGACGTTCGCCGCCAGTCCCTTCTCGGACCCCTTCCAGTTGGACAACCCGGACCCCCAGCCCATCGTGGACGGCGAGGAGGGGCTCATCTGGGTGATCGGGCCCGTGCTGGCCGTGGTCTTCATCATCTGCATTGTTATTGCCATCCTGCTCTACAAGAAGTGAGGCCCCGCACTCCCCTGGACAGAAGGGGGGTTCCCGGAAAAGGAGGGTGTGAGGGGGGTCATCTCAGAAGATCATCATGGGAGCCCTCAATGGTATCGATGGGGAACCCTAGCCCAGAAGTTAAGCTGCTTGATCACAGTCCGCAGCCCGGCAGGACGGGTTCACACCGGCCAGAGGCTCGACTCCTTTAGGCCCCACAGTCCCCTGAGGGGGAAGGTATGGGGCAGAGGCTGTCAGTCCAGTTTAATGACAATAGTGCTCGTAGCGGGCACGTGGGCCCTGTCTCAGCTTGGACAGGGAGGGTGGTGGCCCCGCAACCAGGATGAGCCCTGTTTCCTGGGTGAGACCGAGGCTCAGAGGTTAGGAAAGCCACCCGCCGTTACCGAGCAGGCTCATGTGGCCAGCACACCCTCACCTGTCTTCTTTCCCTCCTCTCCTGTGCCTGCTTTTGGGAGCAGCAAACCTGACAGGTAAGAACTGGCCCTCCCCTCTAGAGGCCCAGGGAGGCTGAGGAGGGCGGGGTGGGGGGGGGCTGGCTGCTCCTATAGTTGCACACGTGTGTACGCATGACCCTGGGAACCCCAGTCATGTGTATACACGGGGCCTGGAGTGTGTTCACACGTGTATACACACCTGTGGGCACATGCTGGCACTCACCGATTCTTCTCTCTCCTCCAAAGTAAACGCAAGGACTCGGAGCCCCGCACCAAATGCCTGCTGAACAACGCCGACCTCGCCCCCCACCACCCCAAGGACCCTGTGGAAATGAGGCGCATCAACTTCCAGACCCCAGGTATGTGCTTCCCCCAGGTGCCAGGGCAGCGCTGCCCGGGGAGAGGGCGCTGCCTGCGGCGACCCTCCCGGCCTCGCCACACTGTGCTCGGTGCAGTCAGTTCCCGATTCCCAGCTTCCTACCTGTGCCAGGCTTGGAACTCTCACGGGTCGGTTCTGCTTTACAACCAAACGAGGCTTTTGCTGTCTTCTGTGAGGAGCTTAAAGGACGTGTTAAACCACAAAGCCCTCCTCCTTTCTTCTGGCAGAAAGAGCTCTGCTTCTGTTCACACCTCTAGTCTGAAGACCACTTGACCTTTTCCCACACTCCCTGGGATGTGCCCCTAGCAAGACACTAATTACACCTCCCACCGGGCCCGCCACTCCCCTCCACGCCACAGATGCTCGTGCGCCGTCTGCCTCCGAACAGCTCCCTGTAGATGAGTAAGGTGCCGCTTAGGTCACTCCACGCCCGGTGGGAAGCTGAATCAGTCTTGTCCGTGATCATCTTCACGTACAGGAACCACGCACTCCCGCCTCCTCCCTCTGACCGGCTCGTGCCAGCTGCTTCTAACCAAACAAGGGGTTTTCCATGTAACTGACGGTGGCTGTTCCTAACGTGGTTCCCTTGTTCCCGTGACCTGAGCTCTGGAATCTGCTTTCTGTTTCTGAACTGGTCCATATTAACTCGGTTTCCAGCCAAACAGAGATTTTAAACATATTTAACTGATGGCTGCCGTGCTCCGTAGGAATCACGGAAGGTCGCATGCGGCACCTCTAACGTGCTCCCTGCTCTTCTCTCTCCTGTGGCAGTTGTTTCCATCCCAATGAGGGTTTCAGACTTGTGTGTTTAACCGATGGCTGACGTCCTCGTAAAGTTCATGGCGTCGGCCCCTGTCCTTCCTCCACCCTCAGTTCTCCCTCACCATCCTGCCTTCTCCAAACCCCGCAGTGGCCCACACGGGGACCCAGGGCCAGAGGGGTGTGGGTGACGTTGACGGAAGAAACTAAAGCTGTGGGACCCTCCCAGAGTCGTGGCTGAACACCGGGCGGCAGAAGCAGCCGCTGCCCCGGGTCCGGGGCCGGGCCGCAGCGCGTGTCCCTCACGGCTGGCGTGCTTGGCCCTGTGTCTGTCGGCCGCCGTGTGCGCGCACCCAGCACGGGGTGGGGGAGGCAGCGCCCCGCGTGTTTTCATTTATTTATTGTTTGCTGTTTCTGCAGATTCAGGCCTCAGCAGCCCCCTCAGGGAGCCGGGGTTTCACTTTGAAAGTTAGTTCCTGTGTCTTTCTGTTCTCGGCTCCCTTCCCCACCCGCCCCTCGTTTGTTTTCATCTTTGGTTTCTCCATCCCGCCACCTCTCTCTGCCCACCTGTCCTGCGCTGGCTTCAGGGGGACGGGGTCCGGCCCACTGTGCCCTTAGCGTGCTGGTGGTGACTGTGCGGGGGTGGGACAGGGACGTAGGTGAGGCACATACGAACGGAAGAACAGGAGCCCGCCCCCGTGACAGGCAGGGAGAGCCACCAGGCACGTGGGCACCAGCCTCACACTCCATGGGGGGGGCCCCCACCAGAACAACAGTTGTTCACCAGCCGGCCTGGCAACACTTGACCCGTTTGATGTAGCTGCAGAGTGCGAGTGTGAGCGCACAGGGAGCACTGGCCGGGGCGTGGAGATGGGTCTGGCAGACCCAGATACCAGGAAGAAAGAGCCAGGCCCACCCCACTC